TAAAATAGTTAGGTTCAATGTACCTGGCCTCATCACCGGGGTGCTAGAGTAACTGCAAGTTTACAAACCAAACCAAAACAAAGGCCCATGACAACCCTTCCCAGTGAAACAGTATATGCATTCTTGTCCCAACCTTCCGCACTGGCTGAGAATTTTCGAACTTGAAGGGATCATCTGATCATCTAGTCAGCTCCTCACCTGAGAGACCAGATTCTTGTACGCCGAAGTAGCATGCGGTGCGCATCAGGCGAGAACGCAGAGGGCTTGGGAAACACATGACGTAAGTCACCGGTACCAGGATGTCACAGTGTTCCTGCAGCCAGGCGTCAGGCATCCAGAGCAGGAGCTGCACCCGAAAGTGGGCAGTGGGGCTCTGCTGGGGCGCAGGCAGCCTGATGCCCGATGTCCCCAGGTCTGGGAGAAGAACCGGAAGCTCAAGAGCTTCAACCTGTCGGCGCTGGAGAAACACGGGCCAGTGTACGAGGACGGTGAGGCGCTGGCGGCGACAGGCGGGGTGGGCAGAGGGGCGGCCGCCGCCCGGGGCTCCCCTGACTGGCCCTCTCGCCCAGACTGCTTTGGCTGCCTGTCCTGGTCGCACTCGGAGACACACCTGTTGTATGTGGCAGAGAAGAAGCGCCCCAAGACCGAGTCCTTCTTTCAGACCAAAGCCCTGGACGTCAGTGATGACGACGTGGCCGAGCCCAAGAAGCCAGACCAGGCCATCAAGGTGCTCGGGGCCGCGGCCAGTCCGGGAGGCCCTCGGGGCAGCCCTGGGCTCCGTGCGCGCCCTGCCCGCCCTGCACCTGGCAGAACTGGGAGGCACTGGCTTCCGGGGCAGGGCTGGCCCTGGCATGGCAGGGGGGCGCTGAGTGTCTCGTGTTCTCAGGGGGACCAGTTTGTGTTCTATGAAGACTGGGGAGAAAGCATGGCTTCCAAAAGCACCCCGGTGCTCTGCGTGCTCGACGTGGAGAGCGGCAACATCTCTGTGCTCGAGGGCGTCCCTGAGAGCGTGTCCCCCGGACAGGTGAGCCCGCCGCCGCCCTCAGCTTCTGGGGCAGGGCCCTGCCTGAGATGCCCCTGCTCACCCTGCCCTGGGGTCTTGCCCACAGGCCTTCTGGGCCCCAGGAGACACGGGCGTGGTGTTCGTGGGATGGCAGCACGAGCCCTTCCGGCTGGGCGTCCGCTTCTGCACCAACCGCAGGTGAGGCGGGGGGCAGGGCAGGGAGGGGCTGGGGCGCAGGCCGGCCCTGATGCCGAGTGTCTCTGCTGGTTTCAGGTCAGCCCTGTACTACGTGGACCTCACAGGGGGGAAGTGTGGTAAGTGCGGGGCCCCTGAGTTGTACCGACCCGCCCGGCCCGGCCCGGCCCGCCCGCATGACGCTCCCGCTTCCGTCTGGCCCAGAGCTCTTGTCAGATGGCTCCCTGGCTGTCTCCTCTCCCCGGCTGAGTCCAGACCAGTGCCGCATCGTCTACCTGCAGTACCCGTCGCTGGTCCCCCACCATCAGTGTAGCCAACTGTGCCTGGTGAGCTGGGGGTGGGCGGGCCGTGTGCAAGGGGATGGGATGGGGGAGGCGCTGAAGTCCAGCCTCGCCTCCCCACGGCCCCTCGTGGGCCTCCTGTCCCGGGTGGAGGGGTGGGTGAGTCCTGCCCGTCCTCTGAGGCAGGGCCCCAGGCTGGGGCTGCCAGTGCCACTGGACGGAGGGCACCGGAGGGCTGTGCGCGGTGGAGACTCGGGCCTGGAGAGCGAGGAGAGCGAGCTCCGGTGCAGGAGCCCGACCTTTGCCAGTGGCACGTGGCAGGCTCTGCGAGGGGCTGCGTTACGAGGCTCTTGCCCAAGAAGAGCTCTGGGCCCTGGAGAGAGTGGGAGTCAGGCCCCTCCAGACCGTGGCCCAGCGCACCAGGAAGGAGGCACAGAGCTCCTCCCGGGCCCCCCCCCTTTCCCAGGGTCACCCCAGAGAGGCCTGGCGCTGAGCTCCGTGCCCGGGGGCACCGCCAGTCCCGCGGCCTAACCGTGTGTCCCCTTGCAGTACGACTGGTACACCAGGGTCACCGCGGTGGTGGTGGACGTGGTGCCGCGGCAGCTGGGAGGTAAGGGGCGTGTGGCTGGGGGTCGGCGGAGCCCGCGGCGTTTTCCTGCGTCCGCCACCCCTGCGGGGCCGGCCCACGTGCAGCCTCCACGGGGAGCAGGGCCAGCGCCACGGGAAGGGTCCGAGCAGTCACACTGGGGGGGCGGAGGGGGGGATGGCGTGCCCGGCCGCAGCTCCCAGTGAGATTTCTCCGGGTTTCCCAGCAGCTGCCTGGAGCCGCTGCTCCTTCCGGGCTCCCAGAACCTGCCCTGGGGCCGCCTTGTCCCACCCCCGCCCCCGCCCCGCCCCAGCCCTCGATCAGCAGGCGCCTGGGCGGGTGCTCTGGGCCGACAGGCTCGGTCACAGTCCCAGTACCCCAGGACATGAGCGGTGAGCGTCTTCTCAGGCCGCCGGTCAGTCCGGGCACCCAGTGGGCAAGGGCGCCTTTCCTCCCCTCTGGCTGCAGGGACGCAGCTGGTGCCTGCACCTTAGCCAGTGCCCTGACCTCCCTGTCTCCGTCCGTGGAGGGCGGTCACCCTGCCTTCCCTGTGGCATTGATCACGTGAGGGTTAAATGAGTGATGACGATAAAGAGCAGGACTGCCCGGCCGGCGGGGCTCGGGTTGAGCGTCCACCCATGAACCAGGAGGTCCCGGTTTGAGTCCCGGTCGGGGCACAGGCCCAGGTTGTGGGCTCCATCCCCAGTGGGGGGCGTGCAGGAGCCGTTCCATGCTTCTCTCCCATCCTGATGCCTCTCTCCCTCTCCCTTCCTCTCTGAGATCAGTAACATTTTTAAAAGAGCGGGTTCCTCCGCCCCCTGTGCCAGGCCCCTGCTCACCTGGCGCCGGAAGAAGCAGGTCGCCGGAGAAAGCGGGCATTTTCCTCGGAGCGCCCGGCGTTCCCAGAAGCCCCCTGAGCTCTGCCTTTCTTGGGCCTTCGAGAGACCCTGCCCTCCACCCTGCCCCCCAATGCTCCCTGCCCTCCTGCGTCAGGGGTGCTCCCCAGCAGCCAGCCTGACCCTCCCGCCCCCGCACGCACACCCCGCACACACACCCCGCACGCCTGGACGCAGCCCCTGCGCCTGTCTCCGCAGAGAGCTTCTCTGGCATCTACTGCAGCCACCTGCCGCTGGGGTGCTGGTCCGCGGACAGCCAGCGAGTGGTTTTTGACTCTGCTCAGCGCAGCCAGCAGGTGAGGGGCCCTGACTGTGCTGAGAGGCGGCCATGACCCACCCCCGGGCCCCTGGGCCTAGGGCCCCGCGTCTGCTCACCCACCGCTGGCTGCAGTACCGGCCACCAGGCCTCGCCCCTAACGCCCTGCCGGCCCGTCCTGGCTCCACTTGTCCTTGGGGCTCTGGCTGCCCTGGTGGCCCCGGTGCCGTCCTTGGTCGTGGTGCCCTGTAGCGGCCACGACAGCTTCCCTGGCCTTCATCCTCCGCGACACAGCTGCACCCCTCCCCCAGGCATCGCCGGCTTGGGATGAGGGGGCTGGCACTGGGGGGCCCTACACCCTGTAAGGGGAGTGATAGGGGGGCAGAGGCCTCTCCCAGGGGGTGTGACAGGCCCCTGTTGGGTGTGATGCCATGTGGTCCGCATTCTGGCTCAAAGGCAGCCCTCACACTGCCCAGGGTCACTCGCACGTTGTGACGGGCTAGGATTTGAACTCAGTCCCTCAGGCCGCTCCCTCCTGTCCTGAGTAGCCGTCACACTTGCTCACAGCCCTGGCCTGGCTCAGGCTCCCTGAGGGGGGGGCGAAGGGGGGGCGGGACCCACAGGGCCTGGGACATGAGGCCACACGTGGCTCCTTTCTGCTCAGGACCTATTTGCTGTGGAC